ATGAAATTCTTTCTTCTCCTACCATTTGCCACATAATGGAAGAACCTAGTGTTTCTATCTCCCTCCTTAAACCATTTGCACCTAGATTTCTGTCTCCAGCTTATTTCCTCTTTATGCAAGAGATTCTCCAATTGCTTCCTCAAACTCCATTTATTCACCCTGTCTTCCTCTCCAAAAGCCCCTTTCTCCCCTCCTCTTTACTTTGAGTGCAGAAGTTTTAAGGAGATTAATAGAGAGGGCAGATTTGAGGAACTTAGTGAGGGGTGGAGGATTGGAAGAGACAAAATACCTATCACACACCTATAGTTTTCTAATGATGCAATTCTTTTCTGTGAAGGGGAGGATGTGAGGTGGGTCAGAAATTAGAAGATGGTAGTTCAACTGTTTGAAAAAATGTCAAATATGAAGGTGAACTTTGATAAAAATTGTGTGGTGGGGATTAACATGGAAGAAAGAGCTATGAGGGTCAGGGCTGAAATTCTAGGATGAGTGGTGTCACAATGGCCTATGAATTACTTAGGGATGCCTTTAGGGGATAATCTGAGGAATAACAATTTTTGGAGCCCGGTAATTGATGGGTTCACGAAAAGGTTAGCCTCTTGGAAGAAGAATTATCTATCTTTGGGTAGTAGAATCACTTTGATCAAGTCTACATTGTCTACCTTTCTAGTGTATTATCTATTTGTTTTTAGGATCCTAGAAAGAATAAGTAGAGTGTTGGAAAACTGATGAGAGATTTCTAGTGGAAGCCAGAGGAGGAGAGGAAAGACCATAGGGTGAATTGGGAAATAGTCTCTAAGAGTAGGGTTGAGGGTGGCTTGGGATTAGGTAATATTTGGAAGAAGAACGAAGCTTTGTTGGGGGAAACGGTGGTGGAGGTTTGAAGGGGATAGGGATAAGTTGTGGACTAAGGAAATTTTGAGTATTCATGGACAAGTAGATGATGGTTGAGACTCTAGGATTGTGGCAAGGACTACTAATAGCTTCTCATTGGAAATCCATACATGCCATTCTACCATCCTTTCTACAGTACATCGGGTACGACCTTTGCTTTGGGAATCGGGTAAAAATTTGGAAACACCTTTAGGTGGAAGATGTACCTTTGAAAGATCAATTTTCCTCATTAATTTCCCTCTCTCGGTATAAAGGAGAGTGTGTCTGATTTTTTGGTTCCCTCTGAGTCAAACTTTGGGTCTGATTGGGATTTGGGTTTTAGAAGAGGCCTTAAGAAGTCAAAATTTGGAAATGACCTGGATCTAATCCAGATTTTGAATGGGGTGATGTTGGTTTCTTCAAAAAGGGATAGTAGACTTTGCCTTGTAGATTTGGTTTAAATTAGGTTCACCCATACTTGAAACTATTTCATCAACTATTTTCTCGAGAAAAGCATTTTTTGGAGAATCAAAATAAAAATTTTCATTAAAATAGAAAAGAGTCATACAACTTGGGGGTGTTAAGATAGCACTCAACCGCAACCTAGCATGAATGCTGATTACACTACACTAGAAAAAATCAGAAAAACAGAACTGGTCAAGATTACAAGACTGTAACTCAAGAAAATTCCATAAATTCTTCCCCAACTTTGTTCTACTAGTCTAAAGGAAGTCTTGGAAGTCTTTAATGAATTTTTCTCCAAAGGGGAGGTATCACCAGGAGAAAATGCCACATTTATCACTTTGATTCCAAAGAAAAGGGAGGCCAAAACTCCTAAAGACTTTAGACCAATAAGTCTCATTGGGAGTGTTTACAAAATTCTGTCAAAGGTCTTAGCAGAAAGACTAAAAAAGGTGGTACCCTCGATTATCTCTCCTTTCCAAGGAGCTTTTGCAGAAGGAAGGCAGATTGTGGATCAAATCTTGGTGGCTAATGAATGCGTCGGGGAAAGAAGAAAGGATAGAGAAAAGGGGCTGGTTTGTAAGGTAGATCTAAAAAAAGCCAACGACCTGGTTTATTGGGAAGTCCTTCTAAAAGTATTAGAAAGACTGGCATTTGGAGACAGATGGAGGGCTTGGATCAAAGGATGTTTAAGTTCAGCTCATTACTCAATCCTAATTAATGGTACAGCAAAGGATTTCTTCCCGGCCAAGAGAGGAATTAGGCAAGGTGAGCCCCTATCCCCATTCTTGTTTACCCTAGTGGCAGAAGTATTAAGTAGAATGGTGGCAAAAGCTGACGCTCAAGGCCTTATCAGAGGTTGGAGGTTAGGTAGAAATCGAGTGATTGTTACCCATCTCCAATTTGCAGATGACACCATATTTTTTTGTGAAGGAAGCAATGAGGAAGGAGAACTAATAAGATTTGCAGAGATCTTGGGGTGCGAGATCAGAAGCTGGCCTATTAGTTACTTAGGTTTACCCTTGGGAGGAAATCCCAAGTCAGTTGGGTTCTGGAAACCAGTTTTAGAAAGGTTTGATAGAAAGTTAGCCCTTTGGAAGAGGAATTACATTTCTTTGGGTGGAAGAAAAACCTTGATTAGAGCCACCCTGGCAAACCTCCCCACCAATTTCCTTTCAACCCTTTGAATCCCTTCTAAGGTAGCAAGGTGCTTAGAGAAGTATATGAGAGATTTCCTTTGGGACCTAGGAGAGGAAGGGAAGGATCACTTGATCAAGTGGGAGAAGGTTAGTAAACCTAAGGAACAAGGGGGTTTAGGAATTGGGAACATCCTTTTAAGGAACACATCTCTACTAGGTAAGTGACTTTGGAGGTATCCCTTCAAGGGTGACAAATTGTGGCACAAAGTGATTGAGAGCATTCATGGGGTGGCTAGAAATGGTTGGGATGCAAAAGTTTCCCCTCACAGTTCTTCAGCTTCTCCTTGGAAAGCAATTCACAAAATCTACCCTACTTTCCTCAATTCCATCCGGTTCGATGTGGGACAAGGTACTAAAATTTTGTTTTGGGAAGATCTATGGGTAGGGTAAACCCCACTAAAAGACCAATTCCCTGATCTCTTTGCGCTATCTAACCTTAAGGGAGAAGCTATTTCCATGTTGGGATCATTGTGTCCAAACGGTGTGAACTGTAATTTGGGCTTTAGAAGGGGGCTAAGGGAAAACGAGTGTGAATCTTTAATCCGATTGCTGGACCTCCTAGGGCAAATCCACTTTGACCCTTCATTGCAAGACTCTAGAATCTGTGTAGGCTCTCCAGACGGCCTCTTTTCTTGCTCCTCTTTCTTCAAAGTACTTGCTTCCCTCAACCTTCTAGGTGGGATGTTCCTTGTGAAAGAAATTTGGAGCAATCCTACTCCCCCAAAGATCCAAGCCTTCTACTAGGGAATATTCCTTGGTAAGGTAAACATTTGCGATATGCTGCAGAAAAGGAGGCCATAGATTTGCCTTTCTCCTCATGTGTGTTCTTTGTGTAAGGCTCATTTAATGATATCCTATTCTTTTGTGCATCGAATTTGGGAATTCTTTTGTACTCTCTTTGGCTGCAGGTGGGTTCCCCCTCAAGACGTGGCAGGACTCTTCAACCATGATTTCTTGAGACAGTGAAGGAAAAGAGGGATGGTAATGTGGAAAGCAACAAAGGCAGCAATTTGCTGGGTAACATGGGAAGAGAGGAACAACAGAATTTTCTTGGAAAAAAGTAGACAATAGAGGAAGTGATTGATAGTATCAAGGTGAAAGTAGTCCATTGGGTAAAATCCTTGGATAGCTTTCAAGTCTTCTCAATCGCAGACATTCTAAGAACATGGTCCGAAGTAGCACAATCTTCGAGAGTAAGAGATAAAGTAAGGCTGGAGTTGAAACCACCAGAAAGCAATAAAGTAAAGCTGAATTTTGATGGGTGCTCCTTTGGAAATCCAGGCATCTCAGGAATCGGAGTATTAAGAAACTCTGACAGGAGGATATTGGGTATGTTCCCAGGACCGATTGGCAACGGAAACTCGCTGAAGGCTGAACTATTGGCATTACTACAAGGGTTAAAGCTAGCCAAACAACTAGGATGTAGACATGTTGAAGTGGAAGAGAACTCAAAAGTCGTAATATCATGGGCAACAAATAGCAGCCATACCCCATGGATGTTTAAACATGTGATTAGGGATGTGGAGAAGATTGCAAAGGAGGTTGATGCTGAATTTAAATGGGTCCAAAGAAGTGCAAATGGACTAGCTGATGGATTAGCAAAACAGGGGGCATTGAGACATCAATTATTTTGGGCTGCACTGTAATGAGGGGTAGAATAGAATGATTAAAGGGGATCAACAGTCCCATCACCAAGTTGTATAAACTGCTTATAATCTGAATTTAATAAAATACATTTTTTTGATAAATTTAATAAAATACATTTTTACTTATCAAAAAAAGGAAGTCTGGATGCACCAGGATCCAATCTGACACCAGATTCACAATCAAGGCTAAAAGACCTTCAATGTTCTCCTGTTTGTTCTCAAATAATCTTCTATTTCTCTTATTCCATAAGACCCAGCAGACTGCTAAAGGGATACAACATGTGTAAAACAAGTAGAAAACTGTTATGCTAACATGCTGCATCTTGGCCAGGAGGAAAAGAAAAAAATAATCTCTAATGCAAAAAAAAAAAAAAGAATAGACAGGAGATTAGTAGGTGGAGCAAAGTCTTATACTTGCTTGATGAAGGAAACATATATCCAGTGAGAGGTATCAATTAAGGCCTTCTCTTTTGAAGATTCTTAAAAGTATAATGCCCCAATGTTTTTCCTAAACCTTCCACAAATTTCCTAGATTTTCTAATATTTTGAGCAACAAGGGTTTTTGAAAGGTAAATTGCGCAACAAGGGTTATATACTCAAATAATCCCATTTCCACAAGATGATCTCTTCAGCAATATTAAAATATTGAATCTAGAGTTAAATATTGTTAAGTATATTATAATATTATATACAACTCATTACAGTGTTCCACCAAAGACTAACTTCATACAAGACAGGCACAAGATAATAACATTGCATGGAAATATCAAATTGAAAAACTGATATTTTGGTTAGCATTGAAAGGATGCTTACACTGCACCTTCCGAAAGGAAAAGGGACACCAAGCAGAGCTGCCACCGTTACTGCAAAATCAAGCTGCAAACAACAACAAAATGCAATCAGAAGTAGGAAAAAATTGCTAGGCAACCAAATGCAAAATAGCTACCAGGGAAGAGACCATTAACCTGCTGGACAAAGCTAAAACACATCTTATTTCCATCCTGGAAAATTGAGAGATAAATGAATATGTATAGCCAACAAGAAAACTAAGTAAAACCATGCTTTTGATGTAAATCATGTTTCTTCATGCTAAGTCTTTTTTCTCAGTAGAAAAGCACAGATGTTGCCCATCTATAAGTGGACTGAACAAGTAGAATTACATTCTGCCCCATCGACGGGGATGGAGAGTGTGTGTGTGGGGGGGGGGGGGGGAGTAGATAGACAAGTATACGCTCAATAGAGAGTACCAAATCTAACTTGCACACAGAGCTATCAAGTGCAGCTGGTACAGAAGCTGGAGACTTTTTCATACTCATTGCAAAAAGCGAAGTCTCAACCTGCATTTGACATGCCTGTAATCAGCCTAAAAGAAATTTTGTAGTGAAATTAAGCTTCCACACATTTTGAAACATAATGAAATACACCTCTTCAGCAGTCCCTCCACCATGATCACCATTTGTAGTTTGACCATGATCTCCCATTACAAGAAGAAAGGTATTTTCATGTAAATCACCAGGTCCTGACTGGTTTTTCAGCACTTCCGTAACTTTCTGAAGAAAAGGATGGCATGTCATCAGTCAATTTGATTGAATAAGGAAAGCATGCTAACAGGAAATGCTCCATTACAAGTTTAAAAAAATCATAATATAACAAAAAGGTACTCAACAATTCTCCTAACCTAGCCTCCAGTGACTAGTTGATAATAGTCAAGTCAAGTACAAAATCATCATTATCTAAGCTTTATCCCAACTATATAGGGTCAGCTACATGAATCCTGTTTTACCAGTCCATTCTGTTTAGCGACTTATCTATTGTTAAATTATAGTCAAATAGAAAAATGCATATCTGAAAGCCGCACAAGTTGATTTGAGTAAATGAAATCTTTTACTTCTTGATGTGCAAAACAAATGAGAGGGAGAGAACGAATGAATAAAAAAATGGACTGGGTACACAGAACCACCTAAATCAAGTTGATACCCAAAAAAAAAGTCAATAACAAGTCAAGTGCACAGTAATACAGATCATTATGTCAAAAGACAATGTGGCAATAACAGTCATTTATTATCGGGATCATAGGTAGTAATATCAGGAGCAGAGCCAGGAATTTTCTTTGTGGGGTCAAGGTAGGGGGAAAGCATATATAGAAAACATATACAAGAATCAAAATGATGCTCAACCTTCTTTTAGTTTTATACTGCAATGATCATATAAAAAATGTATAAATAACTTTGCTGGATATTTCAGTTAAACCATTTAATTTCTATCCCACCATGACATCATTTATCTATATAGTACCTTCTTTTAACCTTATATCTTAAAACATACAAGTAGAAGAGGGATTAAATAAACTACATCAAGGGACCTTAACCTTTATAGATACAATTTTTCAAGGTAATTGTTCAACCATGTACAAGATGTCAGACATACCAATGAATAGGCTAGCTTACTTCCATCTATCCCTCTAACTCGAATCAAATACAATTGAGCCCAATATAGTTGGTCCCTATTCAAATTGTGTTTTGAATTTTTCCAGTTTTACATTTTCCCTACACCAAGTCATGTACTCAGCCTCTTCTTCTTCAGGTTCCTTGATCTTTCCATTTATGTATCCCAATACAGCTCGGCTTGTGATAAACAACTTAGCTGAAAGAACCACTCTCAAAATTATACTCATCAAGCTTCTTGTAGGCTATGTAGATTAGGATTCTCAAAACTAGTAGCGTTCACCCTACTATCTTTAAGGCCCCGTTTGTTTACAAATTTCTAACTTACCCGGGTAAGTGCACTTAACCAAGTAAATGTTTCCTGGGTAACACTTACCCATGTTCTTTTGATTCCCAAGTAATATAATGGCTTTTTTACCCATAAAAAACTAATGTTAAAATGGGCAAACTTGTCCCATTATATTTTATGAACTTTTCCTCCAGGTGGGGAAGTTACTTACCCACCTGGGAGATGGGTTAAGTTTTACCTGGGTAAACAAAGCTCTCTTTACCGTGGGGCCCAGTACTTTTTGCAAAAAGAACACTATAAAGTTGGTCAATAGGTTTCCCATTGACCAATTTTCCCCCTCTTATTTACCGGTAAATGAACGGGGCCTAAAGGTCACTCCCCCTGAAACCAAAGGCATCTTAACCATCCAAAACAAGAAAAAACTTACAGCAGATGAGAACCTTGGATTGTTGAGGGCTGGAACACAAATAACTAAACTCAAGGAATAACACCCCTGAACTGTCTCCTCAACTAGCAGCACCTAAACCCTAAAACAAGGGTGAATCCTGGGACTAATTTCCTCAGTCCAGCAAGATCTAATTCAAATCAGATCACTCTAATAGTCAGATGGCTACTGTTTGCAAAAAAGGTCCATTAAGGCATCAGCTAATCTGTCTTTGGTCCCTACACCCAAGGCAGAACCCTAGATGCGGATCTTAATAACCTACAATCAGATCTGCTTTTTTTGGCAATCTAGGATCAGATCTAGGGCTGCTAAAAACGCAAAACAGAAAAGGAAAGCATGAATAGACCTGAAAGAGAAGAGAATGGTAAATCAATCCAAGTACTGTTGCAGCCTTCAGTGCTCTGATACCATGTTCTCAAACCTGCAACAGTAATGGAGAAGAAAGGAAGGAGAAGAGAGAAAACGAAAGAATAGGTGGCAGAAAAGAGTACTCTGACCGGCCCTATCATTGGTATTTATATTAAGAACCAATTACAAAAGAGTGTACAATTATACCCCTGACAAGTGACAGCAACAAAGCTACAAAGACTCAAATGGGCCAAATAACTTTAATAAAGAAATAAAAACATAAGAAGATTCCATAAGTGGCCCAGCACAACATATCTACTCCTTACAACAGTATATACTCTTTTTTAAATAATAAAGGATTTAGTAACCTACCAACATAATTAGTTGCAGAGAAACACTTTTTGGCCCTTTACACCAGTTCAGTGACAGGAATGAAGCATTTATATGTACTTTTGACCCTTCAGTTTTGAAAATATGTGGTTAACCCACCCAAATTTTGTGCCTTTGGTGGAGGAATGGTGGAGGGAGGAAGTGTTAATTGAAAGGGAGTGAGGTTTCATAAGAAGCCGCAAAAACTGAAGAGTAGAATCAAGGAATGGAACAGGGATCACTTCGGAAGAATAGAGGAAAGAAAATTGAATCTTATGGCCCAGATTGAACAGTTTGATGAGAAAGAAAATTAATGGATTTTAAGTGAAGGGGAAAAACAACTTAGATAGAATCTTAAGAAGGAACCGGAGTAGGATTTTCTTAGGAAAGAGATCTGCTGGAGGCAAAAGTCAAGACACAAATAGATCAAAGAGCGAGATGGCAATACAAAATTTTACATGCAATGGCAAATGGAAGAAGAAAGAATTTTGTGGCAAAATTGGAAATAAATGGAAACTTGCCAAGTAACCAAGATGAGATTGCTAGAGCTTTTGTGGATCATTTTAAGTCTATTTACCAAAGGCAGTTGAACGACTGATTAAAAGTGGACTAGATTAGCCATCCTTGGATGCCAAGGCAGCTAACTTCCTGGAAGCTAGGTTTGAGCTTGAGGAAATCAAGAAGGTTATGTTCTCTATAGATAGATCTAAAATCTAAATTATCAAGTCCTGATGATTTTACTATGGCCTTTTACCAAGATTGTTGGGAGTTGATTAACAGGGATTTGTTTGAGGTATTCAATGAGTTTGCAAGAAAAGCATTTTACCACACGGGTTTATTGCTACCTTTATAGTCATAGATCTGAAAAAAGCCGGATATGGTTCAGCCTAAAGATTTCAAGTCTATAAGTCGAGTCACAAGTATTTTATAAAATCATTGCTAAGGTCTTTCTCTAAGTTTAAGAACTGTCCTCCCTCCCTTAAGGTTTATCAAATCTTGATAGCCAATGAATATGTTGAGGAGATGAGATCAAGAAGAAAAGGTTTGTGTGTAAACTCAGTTTTGAGAAGGCCTATGATTAGGTGGACTGGTCATTCCTTTTATAGATAATGAAATTGCATGGTTTTGGGGATAGATGGTGTAAATGGATAGAGATGAAAACTTGCCATTATTCAATGTTCGTAAAAGGAGTGGTTAGGACTTTTTTCCAGCTTGCAGAGGTTTGAGATAGGGAGACCCACTCTCTCTCTTCCTCTTCACCTTAATAGTTGTTCAGTAGATTAATTTTCTTACATGATAGCTCGAAGGTGTTCAAGGAATGGAGAGTTGATAGAAATAACACCATAGATGCACACCTTCAGTTTGCGGATGACTTAATTATTTTCTGTGAGGGTGATGATCTTAGACAGGTGGAGAATCCCAAATGGTTGGTGAAATTGTTTATGTCAGTTTCAAACATGAGGATAAATTTAGAGAAAAGTTGTGTGGCAAGGATGAATTTGGAAAACAGTGTCATAAATTTAATTGTAGTCTCTTTAAGGTGCTCCACATCCCCTTGGTTCAATATGCCCTTTGGAGATAATCCTTTAGAGAGTAGGCTCTAGAACCCAATCTTAGAAAGATGTGCTAAAAAGTTGGCAACTTGGAAGAGAAAATATACTTCCCTAGGGGCACAATAACAATAATCAAGTCCACTCTTGCAAACTTGTCAGTCTATCACATCTTTGTGTTCAAGATACCATGTAAGAAAATGTTGAAATTAGAAAAAACCATGAGGAATTTTTTGTGAGACCCAGGAGAAGGGAAGAAGGATCACTTGATTAAGTGGGAAGTAGCGTGTAGGACAAAGCAATAAGGGGGGTTAGGACTTAGGAATAGGTAATGTTGACAAGAAGAATTATGCTCTCTTGGATAAGTGGTTATGGAGGTGGCCTAATGAGAGTGAGAGAGAGAGAGAGATTGTGTTGCAAGGTACTAGAGAGCACTCGTGGAAGCTCAAACAATGGTCAGGATGTTGGGGTATCTCATCGGGCAGCTTTGACTTTTTTATGGAAAGCTAACTTTGATATTTTTCCTTTGTTCCTCAACCTAGTTAGGTATGATGCTTGCTCTAGAAACAAAATCTCATTCCAAGAACATGTGTGGATTGGGAATGTTGCGCTTAAGGATTTATTCCCTTCCTTGAGGGCTGAGATTCTAAGAACTCTTGAAGGGATTCAAAGGGTCAAGGACATGCATATTAAAAAATTGATCATAGAAGGTGATTCTGAAATTGTGGTGAATTGGCTAAAAGAGGATAACTCTAAGCTCTGGAATTACAACAATGAAAAGAGGAAATTTAAGTGGCTGACTAAGGTCATTGAAGTTCGTTGTACATGGATAAAGAGAAGTGCAAATTCATTGGTAGATGGTTTAGCTAGGCAAGGGGTGAACAGAAACTCTCTCTTGCTGTTTTGTAATTGTTTCACGGTTCGGTGTACATTGGTGTAGTAGGGAGTTAAGATTCTTTAGCTCCCCTTCTATGTAACTTCTTAATTTCTCAATTATTAATAAAATTCACTGTTATTGATCAAAAATAAAATTGTTCCCTTCCTTGCATGTTTTTTTTTCTTGTTTAAAAAGGAGATAATTGTTAAGTTTGTTTCTTCCATGTCTCCATATCTCCATGTCTCTTACTAATAGTATTTCTTTTTTTTGTTTTTTATCAGCAACACAAAATTGATTCATTAGATTAAAAAATAGAGATACAACAAAGAGTTGTGGGCACAAAATAAAGCCCAAACAGAAACTATTCACCATATACAGAGCTGCCCAAAACATAGGTTGCCTTTGACTTCCTTGCTTTGCTAGACCATCAGCCAAACTGTTTGCAGATCTCCTTATCCACTTTATTTGGATCATCATATCTTTAGAAGTCTGCTTGAATCTCCTGAAGTCATTCCTTAACTTCCATATGATTCCTTCCCCCTTTTTCAGCCAGCCCACAACCACTTTTGAATCACCTTCAATAATCAGCTTAGTAATCCCCATTTCTTTAGCTTTCCCTACTCCATAAACTGCTGCCAATAATTCTGATCTCACCACATCTCCATGCTGAATAGGACTTTAGTACAAAGCTAGAATCTTACTAATGGTATTTCTTGGGATTTGGGCTTCAAAAGGGGTTTGAAGAAACAAGAGTTGGATTCAGCCTTATCTCCTGTTCATTTACTACAAATAGTTGGGAAAGGTTTTCTCTTTATTTGGGTGCAAGTGGACCCCTATGGAGCTACATAGGCTTTTTGATCCATCAACTTTTAGGTGGCCAAGGAGGAGAGGTATAATTCTTGGGAGAAGTACAAGGGCAGCTCTAGTATGGACCATTTGGGAGTAAAGAAATGCAAGAATTTTCTTAGAAAAAGAAAAAAGCATGGAAGTGGTGGAATGTATATATTGCAACAAGGGTGATACATTGGGTGAAAACTTTGGACTTATTCTCACAATTTCCCTTTGATGACGTTTGGAGGAATTGGGTGCTAGTAACAAACAACTCCTCAAAGAAGAAGATTATTTCCAATTGGTTACCACCTGAGGACAATTTAAACAGAATTTTGATGAAAGCAGTCAAGGCAACCCAGGCCCTTCGGGTATGGGGGTGTTTTTAGAAAATAGAAATAAGGAAGGAAATGTTGTCGCTTTGTTTTCAGGTAGCAGGAGTGGGAGACTCAATTAAGGCTAAGCTCCTTGCTGCATTTCAAGGGGCTCAGTTAGCAAGGCAGTTGAATATCGATAAATTGGTTATTGAAGGAAATTCTCAGTTGGTGACAACTGACAAGTTGGTTGATGAACACAGAGGTAGCAGGTTGGACTTTTAGGGAGGAGATAAAGAGGTTTAGATGGCTTACCAACAATATAACTATAAGAAGTCAATGGGAAAGAAGTCAGCAAACGCAATGGCAGACTCTCTAGCCAAACAAGGGGTTTCTAAGGAACAATTGTTCTGGGCTCAGTTTTAATCTTTTGTCGTTTCTATTAAGAGGCTGCACCTTGCACCTTTCTGTGGAATTTGTATTTCTATTGTTTTTCATAACAAAATTCTCCTTATTATTCATCAAAAAGAATATTAGATGTACACACCTAGCATGTACAATTAACCTTCTTTTACCATAAAAAAAAAACGAAGGGCAGGTTTAAGGGTACTAAACCTGCCCTCCGTTAAGGTTCTTTAATTTTTATGATGGGGACATTTCATATAATAACAACGATAAATAGCCAAAAAATAGGGAACCATATTTAAGTTTCTAAAATTCTAAGGGGCCATAACCAGTAACATAAACAATGCAAGTTTAAGAAACATACTTCTAAAATGGCATTGTATTGCTCCAACTTTTCTACCATTGGACTAGAGTCAACTCCAAATATATGACCTGCATGGTCCTGCCAGAGAAATATAAGAGTTACTTGCAAATATTCTTTGTTTTTACTTGCAAATATTTATGTATATGAGTCAACTCCAATATTTATATATATAATTGTACTATTTTTACTTTATCAATAATATATATAAGAGTTACTTGCATGGGTTTCTTATTTATAGGCTTACAGTAAGTTTTTATTTTTTTTATTTTTTATCAGAAGCTTACAGTAAGGTTTCTCTCCGGAAACTTGGATGTTTATGCTATTCACATGGTAAGATGAAGAATGAAGCAGCAAAACCAAAGAAAGTTCACAGGATATTACAGCAGAATAAGATAAGCTATGAGACGTCATCATGGATAGACTCTTTGTTAAAAACTTCAAAATAACAATTGTTTTTCTAGGGATGGAACCTTTTTGTTGCTTTCTCAGCATCAGTCCTGTCTCTCTTTCCACAAAAATTAAAGAAACAAAGAGTTCAAGGTAGTAAATAATATAAAAATGGATGAAGGCAAGTAAAATTGCATTACAAGCTCCGAAGACATGCTATGTAAAAAAAGAAAATGTTGTCTCTTTACTCTTTCGTGAAAACTTTGGTTGGTTATCATGAAGATAATAGACAGAATACTATAAGTGGTCCCTGGGCCAAGCCACCTTGTAATACACAGGGACTGTGGGCAGATGCAAGATTAGCCCATCAGGTATTAACCTCAATGGTCTTACACTTAATCTCTCAGCCCATAATGATCATACACTGCCCGACAAGAGAGGACCTCTCCCTCGGCTGCAAGGAACAGTGCTGCACTCTCTATTTATATGGATCCCGGGAATTAAAACATTTTGCAAACATTTTAGAAAAACAAATCTCAACGATTGAAATCGGTTGCCGGCAGTCTTGGTTTCCATCAGTGAGAATGCATCCCCGATCATTACCTTTGTCCAACAAAGGGGCTGATCCTGTCACTATGATCACTCACTTAGATGAATTCTCATACTATCCCAACATACCTAGGTTTTGACCCCCGCTAAGGATCTCATTGACTGGTACATCAAAGACAGTCCAATCCGACACCTAATGCAGTATCATAATCGAGTCTAGGGGTCGGGTGTAACTTTCCAGTTTTGCCCATCAATCTCCAAGGTCCAGGGCAATACTGGAAATTTGGTCCAGTTCA